ACTGAGCCACCCAGGTGCCCCTCAAACTCAACATTTCTAACACTAAACCTATTTTCTCCTTTGGACTTTTTTCCAGCATAAACTTAACCAGTTTTCCAGTATCTATCAGTTTTCACTGACACAAAGTAGATTCTCAGAATATATGGCTGAACAATTGAATTCTATCAGGTTCCTCCTTATTCCCTATCTTTCTTTGCACTATCTCTCAAATTCAGCACTTCCTTTCCATTCATCTTGTCATCCTCTGGTTCATGCCCAGATGCCTATAATAGCTTCCAAAATGGTCTCTCAAGCCCAGTCTCTCTTTCCTTTTACTCTTCCTACACATAATTACTATATTACTATGACCCTAAAGTATCATTTTAATCTTCATCCTTAAGAACTTTGATAGCTCCCCTCTGCCTGTGATGTAGACCTCAAACTCAAGGCTGTCCCAGATCTAAATCAGATTTGTATCTCCACCTTATCTCCTTTATTCCATTATGCAAATCTATATTCATTAAACCCACATCGCATGTTCTCCTGCTTCTAAATTTTTATTCAGGACCTGAGGACCCGAGAGAGTCATCCTTTTCCTTTCTCTTCAGTAAAATTCTATTTGCTCTTTCAAAGTCCTCCTCAAATTCTCTAAAAACTTTCTCTAAAAGTTTTCCCTAAGCTCTATAGCTCAAAGTGATCTCTCCTTTCTTTGTATTTGTACTGTAATTACTGTCTCTACCATTCGCTTGAATTTACCATCTACTACCTCATTTTTCAAAGGAGAGTTATGTGTATGTGTGTGTCTTATTTCCTAAACAGTTATGAAATTCCTAAAAAATGGCAGGGAACTGGTTTGGTCATACACTTGCCTAGTGCATTACGTGGTAAGTCCTAAAGACATTTTTGTGCTACAAGTTCTCTCTGGAGATGGGTTTTCCTTAGGTCTCTTCCCATGCTAATATAATGTTTGCATTATATTATAGCACCTGGATTATATTACTATTATATTATAGATTATATTACTATATATAATAATATATAACTAATATAATATAAATATATAAATATGAAATATGTAAAATAATATATAATGTATATTATATATACTGTAGCACCTACATTTTACTACAGCACTTACATTATCTTACAGCACCTAGAAGAATAACTATTGGGGTAGCTTGATACGGAGATTCTTTTTTATTTTTTATTTTCTTTTATTTTTAAAAACGATTTTATTTATTCATTTGACAGAGAGAGACACAGCGAGAGAGGGAACACAAGCAGGGGGAGTGGGAGAGGGAGACGCAGGCTTCCCGCAGAGCAGGGAGCCCGATGCGGGGCTCGATCCCAGGACCCTGGGATCATGACCTGAGCCGAAGGCAGACGCTCAACGACTGAGCCACCCAGGCACCCCTGGAGATTCTTTTTTAAAACCTAAAGTCTTACTAATAAAGTCCATCAAGTGGAGTGGTACGTAAAACTATCTTTCTGGGCTTTACTTGAATTGGCCCTTAATAATGGCTCTTTATACATCCTTCGGTATGGTCCTGGACCCCCCTGGGCCATCATAGGGGCGGCCTAGGAAGTCCTAAATGGCACGTACCAGTTACAAGGATGATGATGAAGAAAACGAAGAGCATGAGAATCATCGTCATTATCAACTTCAGAAACAACCAACATGTATGGTGCCTTAATGGTTACAAGACATTCCACTCATATTATATGATTTGCTGGTCGCTAATTAGATAGAACAAACTTTATGTTATTGTTTCCATTCTGTGGATGAAGCGCCTGAGACTCAGAAAGGCTTTGTGGCTTTATGAAAGTTGGCCAGCTTCTAAGCAGAAGTGCTAGCACCTACATCACCAGGCTCCTTGTCTTTCCAGCCACCTGGCTCAGACCACGGTCAGAGTGCCTGGAGGCGACCGAGTCTGCATCTTGTGCATTGGTGAGCCCTAGGCCTTTCCTCAGCAGCCCAGGATTCTCGCCAACAACACGAGCTGCAAGAAGAGCAGCAGGACTTTCTCCAGTTTGACCTGACCTCCACTGCTCCTGTCTCCTCGCCCTTTGATGCACCAGCATCACTTCCTGAATGACTTGCTATGGGGGAGAAGTCAAAAACAACATGACACACGCTGTGCGTTTTGGCCGCCGAACCGCCGTGAACCCTAGGAAGTTCTGTTTTCACAAATCGCCTACACACTTCCTGGAGCTTGAGGAGAGAACCCACATCCTCTTTGCATTTTTAACTTGAATCCACAGAGCAGAATGACAGTTAGGTGCTAGGGTCTGACTTTTAAAAAGCCCCACAAGACATGGACTATCTGGCACCAGGATCAGCCGTCTAATTGGCAGAAGCCAGTACAACATGAAAAAGGTGTGGGGCGGGTGTCCTTGTTCGAACAACAGGAAGACTTTCAAGGCAGTGCTGCTGCATTATAGCACGTTCAGAGTCCTTCTGAGCTCAAGGCTCCATGCACCTGCACACTCAGGCTGGCCCACACCAAGTGCCCCTCTACCACACCCCATTGGCCCAATGGAACAGTTCATCTGGAGAGAATTAATGCTCCAGAAGCTGGATTTTGGTAAATTAAGACTCTTGCCACTGAAGGCGGCCTTAGTCTCTCCTTCTGTTCACCCAATAATTTGTTTCTTTTGCTCTTACCATTTGGCACTCATCAGATTGTGCTATTTTTTACTTACATACACATCGGTCTTATTCTCTAGGCTGTGAGCTCCTCAGCACTGCAACCACATCCTAGTCTTCCCTGAGTCCCTAACCCAGCATCTGGCACAATGTTAGCACTTAACAAATGTCTGTAGATGAGGGTTCTTAGTTTCCCCCTCCCCCACGACCCTGTTACGTCTTCTTCTGTGCTTAACCCACCCCAACTAAGTCATCATGGCTCACCTGGGATGGTCCTCCTAAGGCAAAATCTTGGTTGGTCTGAAAGGAAAGAGGTTTGCATTAGCAATCCGTGGGCTCATTCAGGGGTTACTGGGCTGGAGGGCAAGGGTGGCCATTTTATAATTATATTGCCTGTCATTTTACAAACCAGGTATTAAATCAGTTTACCTTCATAAGGTGAAAGAGGAGAAGAGAGAAACAAAATAAACCTTTCATTTCCCCCCACATTAGATTTTAAAAGCGTTCATCCTTCAGGTTTCACTAGAAAGTGTTTCTGGATTTCCCAGAACAGGTCAAGTCCCCTTGCTATTCTTTCTCAAAGCACCGTTAATACTTATACAGTCGACCTTGAATAATGCAGGGGTTGAGGCTGCTGACCCCTCATGCACTTGAAAATCCATGTATAATTTTTGGCTCCCCCAAAACTTTACGAATAGCCTACTGTTGACCAGAGGCCTTACAGATAACAAATAGTCAATTAACATGTATTTTGTATGTTTCATTGTGTTACATACCTTATTCTTACAATAAAGTAAACTAGAGAAAAGAAAATGTTATTAAGAAAATCGTAAAGAAGAGAAAATACATTGGCAGTACTGTACCGTATTTATGGAGAAAATTCATGTATAAGTGGACCCACAGGGTTCAAATCTGTGTTGCTCAAGAGTCACCTATATATTTTGTATCTGTGCGTCTGTGGTTATCCAATCAACATGGATCTCTTCCTTCAACTCTTAAGTTCCTGAGAACAAGAACTTTATATCAATTTTTACTCACCACTGTATCCCCCAACTCCTTACATCGCACTTAAAAGAGTAGATGCTCAGCAAACGTTTGTATTAGAAATTTGATTAATAATTACCTGCCGTAGTATCTGGGACAAAGCTGACCTTTAATAAATCCATGCACTCATTCATAAATGTATGAATGAATAAATGAATTTTGCTTACTTCTGAAGTGTTCCAAGAGATTCTAGGCAACACATAAGTGAATTCCATTTATTTTTCATTCCACAAATATTTACTAAGCACCCAGTACATGTCATGTACTCATCTAGAGGCTGGAGATAGAGTAGTAAACAAAAAAGACCTCTATAAAAAAAAATCACCAGCTTGGGAAATATTTACTCCAGAACTTCCAAAGCACTCTCTGCCTGTATCTTCTGGGATTAAAGGCATAAATGTGGCTTTCTTCTTGGAAAGACTATAGCAGCCAGGCACTTGTCCCAGCTCTTCCATCACTTGGCAATATGATCTTGGGAAAGAAAGACACTTAATTCTCAAAACTTCTGGAGGTGTATGGTCTTCGTCCCTCTAATCCCTTAGACCTTTCAGTCTGTAAGTCTAGATGAATGTTTTTCATGAAATAGATCCCTTGAAATTCACTGGAAACTCCGTTTTTGAATGAAAATCCCTTAGAAAATTTAGCCATCATAACATATTATATGTAGAGTAGAATTCCAAAAACAAAAACAAAACAAAAAAAAAACAAAACAAAAAACCCCTCCAGAATACCAAAAACAAAAACAAAACACAAAAAAACAAAACAAAAAACCCCTCCAGAATACCAAAAACAAAAACAAAACACAAAAAAAACAAAACAAAAAACCCCTGCATCTGGGCAGCTCTTCAGGGAGGCTCAAGCCTGGGGAGACAGGAGACTTTAAAAGGTGCAACAGTGAAATGACTATATGGTTTTCTATTTATGTCCCCAGGTCTGGAAGCAGAAGGAAGTGACACAGACGTCTTCACGGTGATTGGGATTCTGGGGGAGTCAGTCACTTTCCCCTTAAATATCGAAAAATCACAGCAAGTTGTCAACATTGTTTGGAACTCTGAAACATCTGTTGCTTTTGTAATGCCAGGAGACTCAGGAACAGCACCCAAAGTTACTGTGACCCACCAAAATTATAATGACCGAATAAATGTCTCACGTAAGAACTACAACCTGGAGATCAGTAATCTGAGGATGGAAGATTCAGGCATCTACAAGGCCGACATAAATACAAAGACCCTTGAAGGGATGATCACCACCACCAGGCGCTACAGCCTTCAGGTCTTCCGTAAGTTGTGGGAGGATAAAGGGCTTGTTTTGTTTTGCAAATTTGCTATCTATAGAACTCCTTTATTTCTTTATTGGTTTCCCTAAATCTTTCTGTACTTATAAATCCTTATGTGAATACACCAATACTAAAAAAGAAGATGTGATTTTGTTTGTTTTTAGCTATGTAATCTTCAATCAACAAGTTGTCCCATGGACCTGCTTTTTCTTTTCTATAAAATGTGAATAATCAATCATATTATTCACTTCCCTTGGTCACTGAGAGGATCAAGTGAGATAGTGTATGGAAAGCACTTCTTTAAAAAAAAAAAAAAACACAACACCTCTTTATTTTAAAATAAGTGTAGCTGCATAGAGAGGTGTAAAGAACCAGGCAGAGAGGGGCGCCTGCGTGGCTCAGTTGGTTACGCGTTTGCCTTCGGCTCAGGTCACGATCCTGGAGTCACCGGATGGAGTCCGGCATCCCGCATCGGGCTCCTTGCTTAGCGGGAAATCTGCTTCTCCCTCTCCCTCTGCCCATCATCCTGCTTATGCTTTCTCTCTCTCTCTCACTCTCTCTTTCAAATACATAAATAAAATTAAAAAAAAAAAAAAAAAAAAGAACCGTGCAGGGAGGTTCTTTGTGCACGTCGCCCAGTCCCCCTTGTACACAAGTTACATCTTGTGTAACTATAGGAAAGCAGGAATAAGGAGCTTATTCGGATGTCACAGTTGTCCGGGCTCTCATTTATGTGTGATCATATGTGTAGCTTGCATAGTTAATTCACATGTGCGCCGTCATAGGATCACTACCGCGATCAAGATCCTCAAGTGTACCATCGCAGCAAGACTCCCTCAGCCGTTCAGAGTCCCGCGTTCCCCGCCCCCCCCCGCCGCGCCCCAATTCCCGGAAGACCTTAATCCGTTCTTCATACCTATCATTATGTTATTTCACAAATGCCACCTACATGGACTCATGCAGTAGGCATGCTTTTGAGATTGGCTTTTTTCACACAGCATAATTTGAGAGTCATCTTAATTATTGCCAGTATCAATAGTTTATATCTTTTTATGGCTGAATAGTATTCCATGGTATAGATGGACTAGTCTGTTCAAGCATTCACCCATCAAAGGATATTTTAGTTCTTTCCAGCTTGGGGTTATGACAAATAAAGCTGCTGTGCACATTCATGTACAAGTTTCTGCATGAAATGACTTTTTGCTTCTCCGGGATAAATGCCCAAGAATGAAAACATAGGGTAAATCCATTTTTCTTTTTTTTCTTTAAAAGATTTTTTTTATTGTGATAAAACATACATAACGCAACATTTAACACTTTAACCATTTTTTAAAAGATTTATTTATTTATCTTAGAGAGAGAGAATGCAAGCAGGGGGAGGGGTAGAAGGAGAGAGAGTGAGAGAAGCAGACTCCCCGCTGAGCATGGAGCCCCAACAAGGGACTCGATCCCAGGACCCCGAGATCATGACCGAGGCCGAAATCAAGAGTCAGATGCTTCACCGACTGAGCCGCCCAGGCGCCCCTGTTTTCATCTCTTCATACGTTCGGTGTTACCCCCTCAACCTCTGGGAGGTGTTATACTATCTGCAGGTAGGGCGGACCACGGGAAAGTCTCATTTTTCGCTCTGTACCTCTGTACAGATCACTGTTATAGCTCACCGAGGTCACTCCAGACTTCTCTGGGAGTTTTTCACAAGCCATCACTAAATCTGGTCTGGAATAGATCCCTTGAAGAGACTCACAAGACCAGGGCTTCTGGTGTGATTGGAATGAAAAATATTTACAGCTTCTTCCTTACCATATTCTACTTCCTCACAGGCACAGACAAGTTTTAAAAAGCCGGGTTGCCCACCTAACAAAATCTATACCTTTTGGGGAGTTAGTGGAGAAGGTAGTGATACAGGAACTGACATTTACTGAACTCTTATGTGTCTGGCATTCTACCACCTAATTTTTAAAAAATATATAGAGATCACACATATTTAGGCGATACATGCACAGAGTAAAAGCAATATGCAGTGCATTGCAACACTCAACAGTGGTCACTGTTGCTGGCTTGTTTTGTCTTTCCCACAGATAATTAATGTGGCTAGATAGATGATAGATGATAGAAAGACAGATGGACGGATGGGTATTAGAGAGTTCTTTAAACACAATAACCCATTTAGTCCTCACAACAAACAACCCTAGCAGGAGAAAATTATCCTCAGTGAAGCTGTGTGCGTCCCCGTTCTAGAGAGCAGCAGAGCCTGGTCGGACCCAGGTCTCCAGTGGCTTCTCCACTCTCAGCCACAGCCCCGACCTTCTCTGCCCAGCAGCCTGATGCAGGTAACGTCTCAGTTCCTGCTGAGAAAAATGCGATAGGATCCTATTCCTTACCACTATCCCCCACCTCAACACCCAGCAAAAAAGAGTTTCTCTAAGAATAAGTAAATATCAAGCAGAGAGTTGGACATTCTTGTAAATCCAGTTTCTAAAGAAATGCACACACACACACACACACACACACACTTTCGCTCATTTTTTGCTCTATACATCTGTATAGATCACTGTTATAGCTCACCGAGGTCACTCCAGACTTCTCTGGGAGTTTTTCACAAGTCATAACTAAATCTGGTCTGGAATAGATCCCCTGAAGAGACTCACAAGACCAGGGTTTCTGGTGTGATTGGAATGAAAAATATTTACAGCTTCTTCCTTACCATATTCTACTTCCTCACAGGCACAGACAAGTTTAAAAATACCACAGGAACTAGAAAGCCACATGCTGGTTCCTTCTGAATCCTTCCCACATGGCTAGGGGAGAAGGAACAAAGCCTAGCACAGCAGCCTGGCCAAGAATGAACTAAATTTACCAACTCAGAATGTGGGCATTTTCTTATCTGCTGGTAAAGGGAAGATCTTCCCTTTCCTTCTGCCGGCCCCAGATAGCTCTTAACTTCAACCTAAATATAATTGTTCTTCCGTAACCCTTTACTAGCCTACAACTTGGACAGTTTACCTTTCGATTGCTTTAGTAGAAATATTTTTTTAAATGAACTTTTAAAGAGATTTTAACTTTTCACCAAGGGCACTTTAGAACAACATAAAACAACTCAATGAAAACACACCAGAAAACAGAGCCAAAAAAAATTTTTTTAAAGACTGTTTCGTGCAACAGTGTGCCGGTCCTTGATGGTGTGTGTGACACAAAGGACGTGCGGCACACGATTTCATAAAAGGTAATAAAACATACCCTGGTCTCTATCGTGCACCCCATAGAGCTAGTTCTACGCACAGAATGCTCTCGTTGAGTTGTGCTGAACGTTCATACCTCCCAGGCTACAGGTGTCATCGACGAAGAAGCCAACGAGAATGCTGGCTCACAGTCTCATGAAGTGAGCTAAGAAGGAAAAAGTAACTCAACAAACATATATTTCAGAGCTTCGCTTGCACATTAACAAGAGAGACCTCTTTGCTGAGTTGGATAACAGTTTTCAAATACTGGAAGAATATTTCCTAGTTTTTTTGGTGCTATTCACCAAAAAACTTTTAAGTTTAATCAACCTTAGCTATCTTTCTTCCATTGTTTTCTTCTGTCTAGAGTGAAACTCCGCAGAGCAGTCAACCCAGCCCAAGTTTGAGCATTTGCCAATTTCTTTTTTGGGGGGAAGGGGGTAAAGGGAGAGAGAGGGAGAGGGAGGGAATCCTAAGCAGGCTCCGTGCCCAGCGTGGAGCCTCACGTGATGCTTGATCTCATGACCCTGAGAACATGACCTGAGCCGAAATCAAGAGTTGGAGGCTTAACCGATGGAGCCACCCAGGCGCCCCATTATTTGTCAATTTCTGTGGTGTCAATACTCCCTCTGGGTTTTAAAACTTGCAGAATTGGGAAGACTTTGTATATCATTACAAAAGACAGATACTGTAGATGTAAATAACTTTTAGAGTGCAGATAAGAGTAAACTGGCACCCCCCCAAAAATAGAAAGTGGTGAATGTTGAGTATGCATTAGCTTTTTAAAATATAATTAATTTTATTTATTTTTTTATTTTATTGTAAGTTTTTATAATTTCATTTTTCACGAATCCTTTCTGAAAATTTAACAGTTGGCTGTCCTGGTACAGGCTAGCTCCAGCTTACCACTGACACAGATGTCTTCCCCTCTTAGGTCGGCTTGGGAAGCCAAAAATTACGCAGAGTTTAATGACATCTGTGAACAGCACATGTAATGTCACCTTGACATGCTCTGTGGAGGAAGAAGAAGAGAATGTCACATATAGTTGGAGTCCCCCGGGGGAAGCGGGGAATGTAGTTCGAATCTTCTGGACCCCCGACAACCAAGAGCTGACCTACACGTGCACAGCCTGGAACCCCGTGAGCAACAGCTCAGACTCCATCTCTGCCCAGCAGCTCTGTGCAGGTAATCAGCTCCATCCAGCTCTCCTGCAGTCTCCAGGACTCACTCAGAAGAGAGGCCTGGGCTGGGCCTTGCTCCCCACGGGGGTGGGGCGGCCAGGCCTCGTCCCCAGGGGCATCTCCTCCCAGGAGGGCCTGGAAAAAAGGCCAGAGCTTTCTGAGATAGGCCAGGCATCTGGGGTGTTCTGAGGCAGGCCCTACTTGGCCCTCTGATTCTGTTTCTAATGCTGACTTTGAATAGCAGAAAGTCCAGTTTCCCTTGGAGATTTGGCACTCCCCTGGAGGGCACCCCATTTTGATAGTGCCCCTGAGTGTGGCCAAGTCCCACTGTCTCTTCTGTTTCCAGACACTGCAACAGGCCTCCATTCTCGCCACACTGGGCTGCTGAGCGGGCTGGCGGTGCTCTTTCTCTTTATACTCATTGTGCCTTCGGTACTTTTGTTCCTTTTGTGCAAAAGAGGACAAGGTAGGATTTTTCCAGAAGGTAAAATGTGGAAATGTACCTTCCTTCTTCCTGGAACTGAAGTCATTTATCCAAGGTGGGGTAGAGCGGTCCTTTGTTCCGGGGAATCCGTCTTCTTCCAATCCCCCCTCCTCCACCTCACCATCTCCAGAGTGCGGACCCCTGGATGACAGTGCCCTGAGTGGGCTTCATAATCTGTGCCCGGTGTCATCGGTATCTGGTGGGCCCAGAACCTGGGTGTGAGTTCAGTACCGCCATTGAGAAGCTGTGCTTCACTGGACATGTGTCTTTCCCTCTCTGGCTCAGTGCTCTCACGCGTGAAATGGGATTTGAACTAGAGGGTCTCCTGGGCCACTTCCAATTCCATCATATTTTGACTATGTCCTTTGGAGAGTCACAGAGGGACAGGTACTAACTTTGCATCCCATGGGCGTCACTAGATCCCTCTGGATCCCTCTGGATCCTTCTGTAGTTGTGCCATCTACAGTGCAGAAAACCTAATCTTAGGCCCCCAGAGGAGCACTGTGCCCTCCTATACCTCCTAACCCCAGGATGTCCCCAAATCTTCCTTTCCCACCAATCACAGTAACAAGCCTGGGTATAGAGGGGCTAAACCTCTGTTTCCATGTTCCTGACTCTCCTTTGGGTCTGATTCCTCAGGTTCCTTCTTGAAGCCCTTCAGTAAGAACTCTGGTAAGTTCTCAACCACCAGTTTCCCCGGATGACAACTGGGAGAGATGAGTTCACGGCAGATTGGTTAAGACTCAGCTTGTGCCTTGCAGGCGGTCTGGGCCGAAGCTCCCAGCTCGGCCGTTTATCAGTTACAAGCGATCTGCCACCGTAAGCATGTTTTGTCAGTGGTAAACCAGACATACAGGACATGCTGCACATACTTATTAAGGGGATTAAACGGAATTACCCACATAAAGTACTTGGCCTGGAGCCTGGTACGGAGTAAGGACTCAGTAAACGTCAGCACTGTGCTTACGAATGACGGCCCAGGCTTGGCACGGGAGGAGTTAAATTCTCTTCCCTGGAGAATTTAACTCAAATGGCTGTGTGATGGGGAGAAGTCCTGACTCAGGCCATAGGGGATCTTCAGGGTTCCTCCAAGAGACATCTGACTTCAGTCCCTCACAGTCTCTTGGGAAGGAAGAAGTGCTACTTTTTCCATCTATCAACGAGATGACAGAGAGCACTCAGTCTGGCTTGCCTGCCGGGCCTCAGGCAGGGTCTGGGTCCGTCTGGCTCTCCTGCCTGGTCTGGCACAGGGTCTGGGACAGGACTTAACTCTGTGTGCCGCCCAGCTCACTGTGATTTGTGGATGTCTTGGTGCCCTGAAACATGAAGGCCCCAAATTCTAGCCATCTCTTTTCGACTTCACCCTAAAATGTTCCACGTTAGGAGCAAGGAGAGGAACACACTGGGATGGATGCCTTTACCAGCCCAGGAATTCTTAAGAGCAGGGACTTGTCTCTCCGGGCTTTGCCTCTCTGGGGCTCCCACACCACATGAAATCCCGACAAGAAGGAGAGGCGGTCCCAGGACCCGAGCATCCGTCTCAAGACGATGATAGCCATTTGACCTTTTAGGGCTTCGTTTCTTTACCTTAAAAAGAGAACCTTAGAAGAGGTCATCTCTAAAATCTCTCCTCCTCTCACGCACCGTGCTTCTATGTTTCTTTGTGACAGATGCCATCTCAAAGAAAACAATATACACCTACGTCATGGTTACGAGAGATGCCCCGCCAGCAGAGGGCAGAATCTACGATGAAATCCCCCAATCCAAGGTGAGCTGATGCCACTCATGGGTCCTCACCACCACCCCCAGGAAAGGGAGTCGGGGCAGCAGGCCAGGGATCTGGAGGGTCCAACCAAGCGTCATCATGTCAGGGAAATGAGGCCGTGAGCCCCCCGACGAGGACAGGAACATGGCCAATGGTCACCCTGTGGCAGCCTCTAGGGGTGGAGGCCGCCAGCTTCCACACGGGGGTCTGGCTCTGGGTGAGGTGAGAGGCCTGACTGGGAGTGGACTGCCCTCCACGAGGGACAAACAACAAGGGAGCCCCTGGTGTAAGGGGAGGGCTGCTAGGTGGCCACCGACATGGGAACAAGGGCACAGAACCGAGAGAGGTCCCTCCTTCTTAAAAGATTTTATTTCTTTATTTGAGTGAAAGAGAGAGCACAAGCAAGGGGAGAGGGAGAGGGAGAAGCAGGCTTCCCGCTGAGCAGGGAGCCCGATGCGGGACTCGATCCCAGGACCCTGGGATCATGACCTGAGC